CATACATACATACATACATACATACATACATACATACATACATACAGACTCACAATCATACACAATAGCTCTCTAAACATACACACTTGCAAATATCCAGCACTCCCGTGAGACTGTTAACCCTCTTTATTTATTGTTGTTTTTCAGGGAGGTGTTTATCCTCTGACATCGGCAATCGTTTCCCTGATACATGTTGTTCCAAATACTGGGAGTGCACCAGCGGAGGAGTAAGAAAATCACCTTTATTTCTCTTCAACAGATTTACTTGTTTCTTTTTGTTTGCTTTAGTAAAGCTTTACGGCGCTAGTAATTACATAAGGTCATATTATGAGCGCTAAGGGGTGTGTGCCAACAGAGAAATCCAAACGTGGAATCAGGCCTATTCTGCTCACCTCTCTTGCCTCAAAAGCCCTGTCTGCTTCGACTATCAAGGCACCCCGGAAATAGCAGTTCACAAGAGAGTGACAAACATACAAAAGAAGTAGAGGAAAAAGGACGATAATAAGGATGATGAAAGAAAAAAAAACAGCATTTCCCACAGTATACACATGATATTGATAAATCAGCCCATTTACAATTCTACTGTGCATAAGAACTTGTTAGCATCCCCGATTTGGGAATGGCCTAAAGACAATTCAGTCAGCAGCAGTGCCCTGCGGGGTACCAGATTTACAACGTTCTGTCTACCACTTTAGCCACTCTTCAGTTACTAGGACCATGAAGTCAAAAACCATCTACTCAATCAAAATCGTGACATTGTTACGAGACGTTATCAAAACATTCACAGAATTGCATTTGGAAAAGCTTGAGATTTTGTGAACACGACAATTTTGACGTCAAATTTCTCAAAGCTGGGTAGTGAGCGGATAGAGCTTTGTAATTCTAAAGTAAATAATTTATATATGGCTTTTTGTTAGGTATACATTTTTGTTGTAGTTACGAACGTTTATTTTATGGGGTTTCTTTGTTAGGAATAGCTGCTTATTTGAGGTTTAAAAAAATTTAGAATACATTTTGTAAGCATTTTTTGGGTTAGAAATATTTTTATTTATAAACTTTTTGGGGGGTTAGGAATAGTTCTATTTATAAGTTCTTTTTGTTACGGATAGCTTTATTTCGATGCTTTTTGCCGGAGGAATAGTTTTATTTATATTTTTTGTGAGGAATAATTTTATTTATACGCTTTTTTTGTTAGGGACATATGTATTTATACGTTCTTTTTGTTATGGCTAGCTTTATTTGTAAGTTTTTTTGGTCAGAAATAGCTTTATTTATAAGTTCTTTATGTTAGGGGTAGCTTTATTTTAAGCTTTAAAGCGTTGGTGTTCTACTTTGAACCACTCTGACACCCATTTGTAAGGTCGTGGGTTCGGATCCAATCAATTGTTCCTTGGAAAACATACTTTATATGAATTTTCCTCAGTTCATCCAATAGTGAACGAGTAATCTGTTGTAGACAGCAAAAATTATTGGGATTATTAAGCATAACATAAAAGCTGTTCATTTGGCTTTCTTTTCATGAAAAATTGAAACCAATCTATCCTGAACAGAAGTCAAGGACGGTGGGGTTAACTGACATCAGCGACAAAAAAGGAACAAGAAAATGGTCATCAAAGGATGGTGACTCCCAAAGATCTTGTATCATTGGGAATTTGCAAACCTACATTTTTCTACTTTTCATGAACATTTTTCATTACAATCCAAACTGGAATCAAGTGGACATAGAAGGTCCAGCCCTACCCACCCCCCTCCTACCAGGATAAAAAGTAAATAAAATATATTTACAATAGGAAAAACAAAGCAATAAAAACTGCCAAATAACGGACATCCAATTTCCCCACAGAGGTATCAACAGAGGAGTTGTCCTGTTGGGCAAACCTTCAACTCAGTTACTGAGAACTGCGACTTTAACACTTGCACTAGCAACAGCTACTGTATTGACAACATCCGGCCGAGCTCCGAAACTCGTAAGTCTACTCTACTGGCATATCAATTTTTTAATCACACAAATATTACTGTACATATACATACATACATACATACATACATACATACATAC